TTTAATTTTGGAGTCTCACTCCGTCGCCCAGACTGGAGTGCAGTGGCCTCTCCCGACCACCGCAGCCTCGACCTGCTGGGCTCTGGCGATCCTTCCGCCCCAGCCTTCCACGTAGCTGGAACTACAGGCATGCGCTACCACGCCGGCTAATTTTTTGATTTATTGTAGAGATGAGGTCTCGCCAAGTTGCCCAGGCAGGTCTCGAACCCGCGAGCTCAGGCAATCCACTCACCTCAGCCTCCCAAAGGCGCGGGATTAAAGGCTGAGCCACCAAGCCCGGCGAACTTTTTCCTAATTTACATTTTATGAGTTGGAGTCTCGCTCTGTCGCCCAGACTGGAGTGCAGTGGCCGCTCCTGGCCACCGCAGCCTCGACCTGCTGGGCTCCGGCGATCCTTCCGCCTCAGCCTTCCGGGTAGCCGGAATTACAGGCACGCGCTACCACGCCCGGCTGATTTGTTGATTTATTGTAGAGATGAGGTCTCGCTGCCCAGGCGGGTCTCGAACCCGCGGGCTCAGGCAATCCACTCACCTCAGCCTCCCAAAGGCGCCGGATTACAGGCTGAGTCACCGAGCCAGGCTACTAATTTACATTTTAAAAGAGAGAGACAAGGAATTGACCATACACGAGACTTGGTATGGAGATGAAAATGAAAGGAGCAGACTGGATTTGCAAAAATAGTGAACACTTACTAAAAATACACGACTACCTTTTATAAAGTTTGGATACATTTCGCTCACTTACCATCACTGAATTTGGTGGAGATTTAATTGCTGTAGACTTGAGGGGTTTGCTGTGAAATTATGTACAGTACTATCATTTCATAATTTTGCTATTAGTAATGTTCACACTTAGTGTTGCGGAGATGTATTTTCATGCAATAATAATCTTATAATTGAGACAATAATATTCTTCATGAGATAAGTTAGTGATAATATGAATGAATTATTTCATTATGAAGGATTAATTAATATTTTTCTCTCTAAAATAAATCTTATCAGAAACAATTCTTTCTCTGAGGCATTTATGACTTCATTAATGCATGTATATGCTATCGTTTGTGATTTGTAGTCATCTTTAGGTACAACGTAAAGAAATGGTCATTTGAGATCTTACAGTTTCTCAAGTCAGGGAAGCATGCTAGATATTAGATGAAGTGTGGGAGGTTGTTACAAGACACACCAGATAATCCTATTTCTTCAGGAGCATGTTAATTTTCAGAAGCAGACACGTCTGGTATGTCTTGTTTTGATTCAGTTCCTTCTTGTTCCCCTATAAAGCTTTAAGTTCATCTCAATAAGGGGCTGACAGGAACAAAGATCCTTCAATTCATAAAGTCCTCTCCAAAAAAAATCTTCCCCAGTTTCTAAAGAAGAAATTGTATACTGTTGGCTTGGTTCATGACAGAGATTTTGCTAGTTTACTTTGACTTCTGATGAACATCTTCAGGACTTGATATTTTCATACTGTTTTGTCAGTTAAAGCCACAGGTTATTAATATGAAAGTTTAAACACTTAGCCCCTTAAAAATTAGATGACAAGCAATCTATTAATCTGAGTTCTAAGGACTAATATAAAATGAACAATGTTAATTCTTATATCATTGCCCTTTATCTCTTGGGAAGATATTCTGCATGGTCATTATTTAAAGGTATCTTTGCTGCTTCAGTCCACTCTCATTCAGTTCATGATAAGAATGGATTATCTGGGTCATGATTTGGTCACTTCATGGAAGTACTCCTTAATTTAGTGTTTTCACTGGCTCCTTGAAAGATTGTGTTCCTAACATGTCAAAATCAAATGTACAGCAGATTGTTTATTTACAAAGCCTTTGATTTTGAGTCATAGTAGAGTTCTTTCCCACTTTTTGTTTTATATGTTCAACAAACTAGGACTTTGCTCATTACCAAAAATGTCTGCTTTTCTCTAGAATACACTTTTTACCTCTTAACTTGGAAAATCCAAAGAACCAATACAAGCTTTTTTTTACTACATGTTGCTGCCCAAAAGCAGCAGAGGTATTACCCTTAAAGAGGACCCAAAATGCTGTCTGCTGGATGGAGGGTTATGACCCCTTGGAAAGCTCAGCACTTCAAGTAACCTGCTCTCCATTCACCATAATCAGTCTAGAAAAGTACAAAGGATTTCTAGATTTAAGCAAAATGCCTGTCTGGGATCATTGCATTTGTCCTTAAACTGCCAGTCACCATTTTTGCCATGCTTAATCTTCTATTTTTAAACCTACATTTTATAGATAATTTGGTTTTAAAATTATATTTACATTTTTAACATCCCTTAATGAGCTTATTTCATTGGTAGCACAAACCTAATTATGAGTCACACCAGGGGCTCTTTCACTGTGGATAGTTCTTTCAATTTACACTGGATCAAAGATTGCTAGACCATGAGCAATCTGCTCATCTGCTTCTTTGGTGCCTCAACTATTTTAGTCTCGAGATTGTTTTACTATTTAGGGTTTCAAAAGGACTCTGCCTGGTGACACTGATATTTGTCTCACAGAGAATAAATACATATATATTTTTTCTTTTCAAAGCCCCAAGCATGTAGTGATGATGACACTATTTTTCTGTCCCATACTCCACCCTCCACAGCCACCCAGCAAAGGTTCATATAACAGACAATTTAATTGTGCTTCCATTGAAGTGAGTCATTCTCAGTAATTAGGTTCATTATTGCATTTGCATGAGGAATCTGGTTGATTTTTTAAAGATCTCTTTATTGTAGTCCTCTTAATTTTAAATCGCCCTTATTTTTATGGCTTGTTTTTTCCAGTTCTTTGTTTCACATTATTTTTGCCTCAAGTATCGCTGGATGCTTTAACAAAATGTGCCAATGTGTCTTTTTCTCTCTTTAAGGAGCCTGAATTTTTAAACATCTCATTCAAAAGACCCTTACACAATAAGATCTATAGGGCTCAATTTATCTGCCTTAGACGGATGACAATGGGGAATGATTAGATCAAGCTAGTTAACATATCTGTTTTTTTTCATTTTATATCTTGTTTTCTGGAATTTATGTATAATGTAGTTAAGTGAGGTTTTACTTTGTGTTCATCTTCTTGGAATTCATTGAGCTTCTTAAATATGAAGACTGATTTTTTTAAAAAATCAAATTTAGGAAACTTTCCTTTTATTCTCTTCAAATATTTATTTTACCCCAATCTTTCTCTCTCGTACTCTTCCAGAACTTGAACTACAAAACTTTAAACCACTTGGGCTTTTATTCAATTATGTTTTAAAATTGTTTCTCTATGCTTCAGTTTGAATGGTTTCTATTGCCTTGTCTCCAGGCTCATTGATCTTAATTTCTACAGTGTCCAAACTTCTGTTAAGAACATACTATTAATTTTTAATTCATATATAATGCATATTTCTTGTTCTATATAAGGGCTGACTATTTTAAAGTCATGAGTTGCTAATTCCAACATCTGTGCCATCTATGTTTTGTTTTTCTATTTACTAGATTTTTACTCCTTGTGTTGGTCCTATTTTTCTGCTTCTTACATCTAGTTTTATTTGTTTTTGTTTTTCACGCTGAACATCTATGTTATTAGAGTCTGGAGTTTGTTGTCTGCAAGTATAACATAGCATTAGGCCCAAGATTCAAGGGGACTTCTGTACAGCCCCCTCATTTCATTAAACTTCCCCACATTTTTAAAAATCCCAGTATCCCCAAACTCAAAACTCAGATCTCTGTTTTCTTCACCTGGTGTTTTTGTTTTTGTTTTTGTTTTGAGCCACCCCTTCCCTCTGTGATGCAGTTTGAAAACTGTTCCCAGAATCAAAACTAGCTTGAATGTGGAGCTCGCAATCATGTGTTCCCTGCTCTCAAGCATCATAGCACTGCATTGTCTGCTGTCCAACATTTGAAAACTTTAGCTTTATAAACTGTCCAGATTTGTAACTTTAACCATGGAAAGGGAAATCTGATACTGTTTATGGCCAGAGAGAGAACTTGCTGAAATTTACGTTTTTAGTTTATTATATGAAAAATTATTGGATACATATATTTAACTCCTCATACCAAATTAAGATTTGTTTGTTTTTTTAAAATGCATTGAATTTTTCAATTCACTTGAGGAAAATTGACAGATTTATACTGGGTTTCCCATTAATTAGCATGATTAGTTTTCTTTAAAGTCTTTCAATAAAGGTTAAAATTTGTATATATTTAATCTTGTACCTCTTTGGTTGAATGTATCCTTAGACACATTATTATTGGGTTTTTTGTTACTGTAAATAGTGTCTTTTTGAAGTTGTTGTTGGTACATAGAAATCTAACTGATCTTAACCTTGTGACTAAATATAATTTTTATTAACTATTAAAAAATGTGTATTTAACTTAATTACATCCTAAGCTCTCTTATTAATTTTAATAATCTGCATCTAGAATATTTTTTGCTTTATTTGTTTATAGTCATACCACCAGCTGCCCTAACAGTTACTTTTTTTTCCTCTTTTTTGATCTTTACAGTGTGTATTTATTTATTTGTTTACTTATGTCTTACTGCAAATTATTCATGGTATTGAACCTAGACCTGAATCTTTGATCTCAGTACTAATATTAATATTTGCTAGAAGGATAGTCTAAGATTTTGACTTATCTTACAGCTAAACACTGCAAGTTCTTGTTTTAGCTTTGATTTACTCTTTCTTTATTTTGATCTTATTGGTTTTTTTTACTTTCCATGAGTACAGAGATGCAGTATTAAGTGTGTTTGCTCTCACACAAACATACAAATCTTAATTTGGTATGAGGAGTTAAATACATGTATCCTATAATTTTTCATATAATAAACTACAAACATAAATTTCAGAAAGTTCTATCTCTGGCCATAATATTTAGATATTTTATAGCTAGATAGCAACTTTTGACTTATCTACAGTATGGCAGAAGTAGGTCTATGAAAATAATTTTGATGAAAAATATTTTTCTTGACAATGATCTTTTTGTTCTAACAACAATGATCTCTTCCTTAGGAATTGGTGTGCCTATGTTCACACCAGGTTATCTCCCACAGTGATACTGGACAACCAGATCACTTATGTTCCAGGTGGGAGAGGACTCTGTGGCTGGACCAGTGGATACTGTCCTCAAAGGTATGTCATAGTTCTTGAAAATAACCCCTGCATGCACCATGATCATTTATGGCTGGAAATTTATAATGTTAGTCATTCCAGGTACATATGTGTAGTAGGGTCAGGGGACAGTCATCACATTAGACTAAATGTCTGACCTTCAGTAAGTTAAAATACAGATACTGATAGCATTTGCGTTGTTTATAAAGTCATATGGGGCAATGCACTTAGCCTAGTGCCTTGTGTCTTGTGAGTGCAAATTAATGTTAATTCCCATGCATGTTTCTATTTTTATTATCACTATAACTTTTATTCTATGACCTGATAATTCTGCCCTTTAATTTCTTATGAACTTTATATACAATTTTGAAGTTGTTTTATTGTTTTCTTTTCATACTAGAGCAGAGAGAAGTTCATAACTTGGCTCCTATTCTAAAATTTGGGAAGCAATTATGTATGGTAAAACAGCTAAGTGAGGCCTTTCTTCTTGTGTCTATTTTAATGATCCATGTTATTTGGTTTCATTTAAAAAAAAAATCTATGTCATTGTCCTAAAATGTGGGGCTGAGTAATTGATAAATTATCTGAATTCATACAGTCACAGTAGCTCAGCTGGAGATGTTTCTGAAGAGCCTATAAAAAAACCAAAAATTGTTATTCAGGCCATAATGGTTAATGTTATGCAAATTGTCATACAAATAACTCAGGCAATGAATCTGACATATTGGCAATCTGGAACACTGCACAGTAAGAATACATAAAATCAAGGTGTCTCCCAGTCCCTCAAGGAATAGCTACATCTCATGGGCCAGAGACCTAAGCACATCTTGAGGATTTGGGAGAGCTGAGCTCCAGTTCTGCTTTCAGCATTGACTTCCTTTGTGACAATTTCCTTGTCACCATGAGACACAAAGGATGCATTGTTAACTCTTTAGTAATGAAAATGTTTCCACAATAACCCCTATTTTATTGCCCTTCTGGACTCAAGGTGAGCTCTTTTTTTTCCTTCTCTTTAAAAAACCAGAAATATTAATCTTTATTCTCATCTCTTATCTTTTTATACCTTTGAATGGATCCATTCATTCACTATTTCAGTACTTAAGCAATATTTGTCATTTTTTCGTTGATTATGTCTAAGATTGACATTCAGTTTGCCAAGGCAGGATCATTGACCCTAACAATAATTCAGCTAACTGCTTGAACTCACCATTATACAGACTCTAAAAAGTTCCTTTCCAAATTGACTTGCTTCCTGTTTAGCTTTAACTGTTAGACTGGAGATGATATTTCACTTTCACTGGACAGAGTTATTTACTGAATATAATTTACTAGAATGAATGGAGGTAAATGATTAACGTGCTTTCAGAGATGGGAAGAATTGTATAGCACATGTAAAATGTAAAAATTGAGTAATGATCTAGGTCATGTTGAGTCACCTGTCTAGTTATAGCAAAAACTAAACCCATGACTCCTAATTCCCAGTCTGTTATACTGAATGACCTTAACATATTCAAGGTTTACCTATGTGGATGACTGTTGCCTCTATATAGTTGTAAGTGACAGTCTCTAAGGTAGTAGTGTGGGAGGCTAGCTCACACAACATAAGTTGACATACCGGGTCCACCACTTTTAGATAAGAGTCTTCAGGCAAGTTATTTTACCTCTCTCTTCCTTTGATTCCTCATCAGCAAATCAGGATAATAATAAGATCTTCATCATAGAACAAATATGAAAATTAAACAAGATCATATGCACCCACTGCACATATCCATGTGACAAATATCAGCTAAATATTGAAGTCACATGGATAAGAGTAATATGACATTTTATTTATAGCTCACATGCATATGCATAGAGCCTGTAATTTAGTACCATTCTCTAATTATGTTGATTATTGTGTTGAAATGCTATAGTTTCTTTATCTTCTGTGGTTTTGTCTCAGAAATAATAATATCTCATGTTAGATTTATTTCTTTCTCTCGCTCCCTCTCTGTCTCTTTCTCTTAGAGAAATACTATATGACAGAAATAGACAGTATAATTTTAAAATTTGGGCGATGAGAAAATGCAATTGAAAATGATAGTGATCAGCCGGGCTCGGTGGCTCAGCCTGTAATCCTGCGCCTTGGGAGGCTGAGGTGAGTGGATTGCCTGAGCCCGCGGGATCGAGACCCACCTGGGCAACTTGGCGAGACCTCATCTCTACAATAAATAAAAAAATTAGCCAGGCGTGGTAGCGCGTGCCTGTAATTCCAGCTACTTGGAAGGCTGAGGCAGAAGGATCGCTGGAGCCCCCAGCAGGTCGAGATTGCGGTGACCGGGAGCGGCCACTGCACTCCAGTCTGGGCCACAGAGTGAGACTCCAACTCAAAAAAAAAAAAAAAAAAAAAAAAAAAAAAGATAGTGATTATCATAAATTCTATTAGATTACTAATGTCTAATTTGTTTCATATTGTTTGATATTGATCTGAGAGGAAATAGAAAATGCAATATAAAATATATAGCAATATATAACTTTTAACTATAACAATATACAAAGTAATGGGAACTGAAGTAGAATAAATCATTACATAACTTTAAAAATAAAAATTAAAATAAGCTTTTACATTGGTTTAGTTAAAAGCATTATCAAGAGGAAAATTATAATATCTTTAGAAAATCAATGATGGTATCAATTTAAAGTAACAAATAGTAGAATCTACTAATGCTTTTTGCAATGTATCTGAAGAAATCTAAGTTATAAGTTGAAGTTGAAGATTAGGATTATAATAATAACAGCCAACACTTATTAAATGCTTATTTCGGCTATTGTTCCAAATTCTTTACATTAATTTTTCAATGAATAATTTAATGTGAGACAAATAATCTATTTTTCTCCAATTGCTCTTCTTTCCAGATCACAGAAGATATCCAATCCTATCTATAGGATGCAGCATAAAATCGTTACCTCATTGGACTGGAGGTGCTGTCCTGGATACAGTGGACCAAAATGTCAGCTGAAAGGTATACTCTATTATTAATTTCATAACAACAACTAGAAGCATTAAAAATCTGAAGAATAAGCAACTGATTCCATTGAAGAAAATAACTGCATTTTCCCTTTTGAATCATGGTAAATTAACAGGTAGCCAAATTGCTAGGACTGTTACCTTTCTTTTCTTTCTTTTTTTTTTTGTTTTTTGAGTCTGAGACTCACTGTCGCCCAGGCTGGAGTGCAGTAGCAAACCCACGGCCACCACGGCCTCAATCTACTGGGCTCAGGCGACCCTTCCACCTCAGCCTTCCAAATAGCTGGAACTACAGGCATGCGCCACCATGCCTGGCTAATTTTTTATTTATTGTAGAAATGAGGTCTCGCCAAGTTGCCCAGGCTGGTCTTGAACTCCTGGGCTCAAGGCAGTCCTCTCGCCTTGGCCTCCCAAAGTGCAGGGATTACAGGCTTGAACTACCACGCCAGACAGGACTGCTACCTTTCTAGATCTTCCTAACTGGGCAGCTATTATAGCACCCCAAACTATTCTTTAACTTCTCTGTCCAATTTTATGTTAGCTTTATATGATGAGTAAATGAAGATCTGACAAAATATCTTATTGATTGTTAACTATATGCCTTATTAAAATATCAGGACTATTAATTTTATATTTTAAATAAAGTATTATTAGAAGTGACTTTGTGTAAAAATGAGACTACCCTCTAGTTTTGCTTCAGTTCAGTTATTTTAAATAATGTGCACGGGAATGAAATTCAATATGAATGTAAAAAGTATCCCATGAATAATTCTCCTTTTAAAAAAAAATCCTAATGGAACCATTTTTTTCAATTGAGATTTTAAGGATTTTCTGGTGGCAAGGCTGATCAAACACATGGTAACCTGCTGTGGCCCAACATCCATGTGACTATTATTTTGCTTTTTGCTTTAAGCAGGTTTCCTTTGAAAAACAAGATATGGCATTGGCATACATATTTTAAATGAATGAATATTACAAGAAAGGCCATTAGCAGTGATGGGGAATTCAATCAACAGTGTAAGAGACTGTGATTAAAAATTAATGTAAGTGTGAAGAAACCATTATGATTCACATTAAGAAAAAGAAAATCATAATACGAAAGCTCTAGGAATCCTGCAGTTTAGTTAGGGATATTATATATGGTTTCACTAGCCAATATCATTGAATCTGTGGGCACATTTCATTGTAATGTTATTTGTTCTGGGTCTGGCCTGAATTTCAAAGATGTTATGAAAATTCAATATATTTTTAGACAATAGCATAAATATGTGCTGCATTTATAATCAGGTAAAATAAACTTTTAAATAAAATATAATCTGTACTGAAAATATTTGGAAATCAGACCCTTTAGCATATTCTAAAACGATCTAAATATAGCCCTGCTTTCAAAGTACTTGTGATTTCCATGAAGTGTACAAACACTCACAATGATAAAACATATTTGTTTCTAGTTCATTCTTGGCAAATGATTAAAAGTTCTGGACAGTATTTAGATTTATTTTTCTAAGAACAGTATTTCTTTTTGTATATGAAGAAGAATATCTTAAGAATATTAATTCTGTGATTTTTCTTGCGGATTCAAATGTTGGTTTGCAGAGTACCTTTATAGAAATTTAGGATGTCACTACACATCCTATTGCCCATAAAAACCTGCATGTAAAATGTGGCAGGGAGAGAGTCTATAGATTAAAGAATGGCAGGGCACCAGTTGATGAGGACTGCTGTTGCTTTACATGTCATCCTTTTATACTTACAAATCAATTTATCACTACAGTATACTACATATATGTGGGAAGAAAAAAAACCCACAGAATTCTATCATTATAAATATACACATAAGAAACAAAGACTAGTTGATAGTTTCAAATATCTACTACGCACTATCATTTGCTTTATTCAAAGCACTATATAAAATATTTAAACAATTCAAGTAGTTTGTCTTTGATTATTTAATGACACCTTCTACTCTAACTAGAAGCAACTTATAGATATCTTTTATACTAGATTTGCAAATCACTGTCTTATTTCCCAGAGACAAAAATGTCCCAGAACAGTTCTGACTATGACCTTCCATCACAATAGTTTAATTGAAACTACTCATAATTCAGGTATCTGCTGGGTACCTTGTTGTTGAAGGGTCTCTTTTCTACTGTGGGAATAATGTTCTGATGGCAGATGTGTTCTTGTGTCATGTTGTCATACAGTTGACTCTAATACAGCTTTGATTCCAAAAGAATCTCCTGTTGCTCCCTACAATACTTTGACCATCCTACTTTTCACTTTTATTGCAGCTTTATTTTTAAATGATGAATTTTTTATTAGTGCAATTGATGCACTGACTGTATCAAGAACTACTGTGTCCCTTTGTCACTTGAACCATTCTTCATTATCTCTATTCTGGTTTTTTTTGTGTGTGTGTGCACATTTTTCAGTTCTGATACCTATCCAATTACATGCCAGTTTCTTCTTACACTTTATATATATGCCAACTTTTTTTATTCTTACATGGGAGAGAAAATTGTCTCCCCTATAAGAATAAACTGTTTGACAATGCTGTCGATGCTGTCTCATATGACAAGCTGTCCCAAATATAGCTAAGAATAATCAGTTTGATCCATTCTTTAAACTCCTCTGTGCCCTCAGGGGTTTGTAATAACCTGGATATATAGCGACCACGATAATCACTCCAGTGTCTCAGAATATCAGGAGATTATTTAATTCGTAGAAAATATGCTAAGTACTACATAAACTTCACAAATCCCTGCTTCCTTAACAAGTTTCCTCCCCACAAACAAGTTAAATTTCATAACATGGAGATAAGACTTTCCTTTTAATTTAGAGTGCATTGGGGAGATCTCATAAATATACAAGAAACATTAATAGATCAGGAATACAATAGAGCTGCTAGAAAATATATTGTCTTTTACTTTTTTCCCTCAATTTTTCTACCCTTGTTTCTGTTTCTTTCTTCCTCTTTTTCTGTCGATCCATCCCATACTCTTAGAAAGCAATGTGGTAACTCAAAATCCATGGAGCAATTCACCCTTGGGTCTTATTCCACAATATTGCACATCTGCCACACATGCACTTTAACTGCAACTCGGATAATCAAAACCCTGATAGTAATAGTGCTGGATTGCCTTATTAAAAATGTTAGTCATATATCAAAAGGATACCATTAAAAAAAAAGTCTAATTGAATACAACTGTATTGGGAAAAAGGAGCGTTATGCCCAACATAGAAGTCATAGTTTTGATATATTTTACGTTTGTTATATACTTTTTCTCATTTTATGTATAAAATATTTCCTCATAATGAGAAGTGAACCATCCAAGATAGAGTGTATAAGAGTTTTGTCTTCAGAAAGGGATCTAGTGTTGTGGTATGGTATTCAAGACATTTTTTTGGAGTCAGAAGTAACATGCCATTTACGTCTATCTTATAAAATTTTGCAATAATGTGCCTTTCCAGTAGATGTCTCTAAAATATTCTGAAGTAAAACAAGGAAATCGTGACTTGCTTTAATGACACAGAGAGCAGCACAAACAGAAATTTCTTGCAAATCTGTTTTTAAAAATCCAGTTTGCTTTAGTCAGATCATCTATACAGGAAAAAAGATATCTTGTAAAATGATGTCTCAAAGTATATCACAGATATTATGAATGCTGAAAATATGTGAGCATGCATGGGTATTAATATAAACTGACACCTACCATCTATTATGAATATACAACAAATAACTGAATTATTTAATATTCAAATATTTAAGTATTTGGTTTTACAAATGTTATGAAATAATTTGATAATTATATAAAAGCTGTAACTACTGTAACCAACATTTCAAATATGATATTTCTCTATCAAGAATATTTTAAATGTAATCCAAGTAATATGAATTGAAAATTATAGAAACCAGTGATAATTGAGACAGAACATTACCTCCTGTAAGCATTCTTGCACAATAAAATTATGATACGTTTAGTTGAAGAACACGGTGTACCTAAGTCTTTGCTGTACCAAACTGCCTACTTCAGTTTAGCTAGTAAATCTCAGCAAACCCTAACACATACACAGCACATTCACCATGCAAGTATTCACTTGATACTGCAGGATCAACTGGAAATCTATCTTCTCAGGCCACACAGGAAGGTTTTCTGGCTCTGAGCGGGAGAGAGCAGGCGTCCTCATTACTGAGTTGCCATTAATGACTTCCTCCATATGGCTCAAAGGCCTGGAAGGAAAACAAAAAAACTTGCAGATAAAACCTGTCTAATTAAAAAAAAAAAAAAGCATCTAATAAGAAAGCTGTTGCTTCCACGCTAGACACTTGCCGACCTTGCTTCAATAAATCCTTGATCTGCCAAGGTCAGAGTTCCATTGCGGGGGAAAAAGAGAGTAATTGTGTTGGGAGAAAATAAATAAGGAGTCTATTTTAAAAATATATATTACATTAAAAAAATCTGAAGTGCACAAAGATCTTAAAAATTTAGTTGACTTAAATAAATGCCCTTCTGACCCTGCACCTATTGCTTAGAAGGGACCAAGGAAAAAAAGACCCAGAAATCTGCACTCTATGGAACAAAAGAAAGGTCTGTGCTTCAGTGAAAGAGAAGATAGATTGCTTGGAAAACCTGGAATCTGTGGCAGTCCCTGTGGTAGAGAATACATTTGGGGAGACAGAAAGATTGCTAAATGAAAAAACAAAAGAGTATCGATCAACTAGGCTCTTTATCACAGAAGAGTAACTGACTCCACTGTCAGAGATCCTATCAGCTCTTCCCTGTGGCTGGTTAAATTCTGTGTAATAAATTGGGATGAATGTAAGTATTGAACCCCAGTTGGCAAACAGAGCTAAGAAAAGATAACGTAAACTATTGAATTTGTAAAACAGGCATTTCAAGTTTTTAACAGCTTTGGCAGGGACTCCAACCCATGAATTCCACAGGAAAAAGGTTCATGTTCTCTTTATTTGAGAGTGTAATTTTCCCACCCAGT